CGGTTCGTTGTTTTTCGCTGAAAGTTGAAAACAATTAACATTGTATTATTCAGGTAAGGTGTTCCAAGTATATGTATCGACTTTCTCTATAGGTTCCCCTGTGTCTCCGGAGACGCGCTTTTCTTAAAAACTAGTATATACCCATATATAAACGAATTAATAGGCACTCGTGTTTAATGGTATTCGTGAAGTAAGACATCTATGTAACTATATTAAATTTTTCATATTATTGTTGTTTTTTGGCCCATCTGGAGTGAAAACTGGAATTACCTACATAGTGAATGTATTTATTATTACTTCTTGCCCAGCAGTCGCCACATAAATACGTGTCTTTTTATAACCGTATATACCTAGTTGCTTTTATTTTATTCTATACTATTTGCCTAACTTGTAGTCTGTGATTACATTCGTGGAAATTCAATGTTAAGATTATTTGTTCATTATTTTAATTAGGTATTCTTGATGTTTTTCGTAAATACATATAGATCTTAATAATAATATATAATAAATCTTACTATAATAAATTACACGAGATTTGTTAATAATCGGTCTCTAGCTTATCTGGCGTGAATTACTTCTAAATTGAAGTAATAAATCTTAAAATGTACTTGGTCGTTCGAATTGTACATCAATATTTTTAAGACTTTTATCCTATGTACTTTTTCTTCAGATGGGGTAGATAGACGCAATATTATTTATTTAAATAATTTTAATAATCAAAAGAAAACATAGCATAAAAGGCGGACCTAATGCTAGTAGCATTCTCTACCAATCAACCTTTGGGATTTGGATTGAAGGACAGTGAATGACAAGAACGCGGTACTTTATTATTAGGATAGCTAGTAGATAATAACAGTTAATAATATATACTTACATACAAAAAATAATGAAATAATGTATACATAAATAACATATAATGACGAACATATATATACAATTTGATAAATATTATAAAAGATAATGACTAGCTACTACTGTTGTAATGAATTGATAAGGCGAGTATAAACTCCTTTTTGAACATTAATTTATTTGTGAGCTCTCTATTACGTATTGAATTTCACTGGAGAGCAAAGAAATGAAATAAGTGTATTAATATTAGGTCCAGAAATATATATTAAAAGTTATATTTAAATAGTATTTACATTGTTATTTTACTAAATATGAAAAGGAAAATATTCTGAATGTCAATTATTACCAGGGGGTACCGCGTGGAGGTCAACTTGATAGGGTATACATTTTAGAAGTGATAAATTTATGATGAATTTTAGAGGTGATATTGATATAAGTAATGTCTACTGATTATAATCGTGGTGGCCATTTAGATCATTTGTATTACAGAGCGGTTAATAAATGTATGTAATCAGTTTAGTAAATAGTATCAGACAAAAGAATAATTTATAAGTAATTTATTATTGAATAATAATTTATTCAACAGAAAATAACAGATGTTTTGAATCTTTCAAACACTCTTGTGTCTCAAGGACGTAATGTCAGCATAATATGTACTAGTTTAAGTTCTCAGTCTCTATCTCAGAGATGTTCTCAGAATATTAGACTATAAAGTATATAAATTGGCAATGTATAAAAGAGAAAATATAACAACACCGTCTAAAACTGTACAAAGCTCAAGTGAGGCCACACATGGAATACTGTTCTCACCTGTGGGCAGGAGCGCCACAGTACCAATTCCTTCCGTTAGACCGCATTCAAAGTCGGGCAGCTCGAATTGTTGACGATCGGCGTCTTACTGTCCGACTCGACCCACTGAAACTGCGTAAAGATGTTGCGTCTCTGTGTATCTTCTACCGAATTTATCATGGGGAGTGTTCTGAGGAATTGTTCGGATTGATACCTGCTGCTAATTTTCATCACCGTACAACCCGCCATAAACTAAAATTGTATCCTAACCATCTGGACGAGTGGCGGTCCTCCACCGTGCGTTTTTCAAGGCACTTTCTCCCACGCACAAACACTCTTTGGAATCAACTTCCAACAGCAGTTTTTGCGAACCGATACGACAACATAACCTTTAAGAAAAGAGCATATTCCTTTTTAAAAGGCCGGCAGCACACCTGCAATACCGTAGGTGTTGTGGGTGACCATGGGCGGCGGTAGTCACTTACCATTAGGTGAGCCGCATGCTCGTTTACTCCCTGTGTTGTAAAAAAAATAAACTTATATATTAGATCGAGATAGATAAGTAGGATACTCATCTACACAATATAAGTTCAAAACTGATTTGGCAAGTGTACTTGATTCGCTCCATGAGACAAGTCATCTACAAACTCTTCATACGGCAACTTTTTACGTGGTTTTAGCGAATGCGCGCTGTCAATCGCCAGGATGAATTTACTAAAAACGCAAATAATTTGTTAACGGTCTGTTCTCCCTTCCTTTCTCTCTTTTGTTCTTTACTCTACAACTTAATTTATATGTTTAGAATAGATGATTTAAAAATTTTAGTTTTGATGTATGTATCATTTGGTTTTGACGTACTCACTAAAAGCGGAGCACTATAAATAATTGCAGTGTTCCGCTTTTGGTGAGTTTGCTTAGCAAAATATCCAGTCATAACCAAATCGCTTAATTTTTTCATTCAACTGAATTCTGGGTTTTCAATGTGGTCAATACAAACTTGTTATAATAATGATATCGCTCGAAATTTGAAGTTTTGAATTAGGTATAGAGTTTCCTATTCCTACGTAGATGTCCACTAAAAAAGAAGATGGTATTCCATAACCATATCACAATATAAATGTAACACAGTAATACCTGTGATAATACTATGGTAATAAGTATTATTCATAATTCTTTACCCCCGATACATTCGATTACTATGGTAAGTATATTAGGCATGGGTAATATGAATACTGATCCGATATCTATATATTTGGTGCTTATTAGGGATGGGTAATATGGATACTGATCCGTATGTTGGGTGTCTCTGGACATTGATGGCGGAAAAAAGGTCATCTCCAATTCCGAACACTTTCAAATATGTTAAAAGTCTGTTAGCCAAAAAATAATATTAGGTCCTTATATATGAAATTGGTGTTTTGTACGGAAGGAATATAATTTTTTTTGTAAAATATATTTAATTATTCAAAGTATGCACCGTTGTTATCTATGCACTTTTGCCATCTTATTGGTAGTTCATTGATCCCTTTACTAAAAAAAACTATGGGGCGAGAATCAATAACCTCTTTGAAGGCGGTTTGAACTGCCGCATCAGAGTTGAATTTTTTTCCTTGTAAGAGGTTGTTCAAAATGAACGTACCGTGCTGTCTTTTGCGACACCAGCGTCGTATACATCATGAATCCTTCGAGCTGTTTCTGTAGCACTAGTGCCACGGTACTCGTAAGTATACCGATATTTCATGTTTTCCATTGTGCGGTAATAAGCGACGCCAAAAAAAATAATAATAATAATGAGAAAAAAACAAATGAATGACTATTTTCAAAACTTGAATGTACCAGCTAAATGAATTTATAAATTTTAATTTGGAATTTTTAACCAAAGAGGAGATATTTCAGATCAAAGTGTTCAGTACGACAAAACGCTAATTTCATATGTAAGAACCTAATATTGTAACTAAAATATATAGATATTGCTTTGATTTATTTACTCCTAATGTACCTATATATTACTCGTAATATAATTACGGAGTGTTTTTTTTAAGTTCAAGTATTTTATTTTATTTGTAAGTTATCATCAATATTAATTAGTTATTATAAAAATAGGTACTCTGTTTTGCATGCGTTCGAGCAAAACTCCCATGGGATTGCAAATTTGTTCACAGGGCCCTTGTTTTTGCACCGATTTTGTTGAAGTTTTACAGTGCACTGCGCGTCTATACCAGGTCACTAGCTGTTGCCGTTTGAATTGCATATTGTTTGAATTAACTGGAGACAAGTCGCGTATTAAGACTTCACTTCGTTCCGCCCATATCTATGGTTCAGCCAATAAACATAATTTTCAATTATAAAGTTCGTACACTGTTTATCTAAACAGTATTTAATTAAACTTTGTCTAAGTAAATAAATATCGTTAAGCCAATGGAATAATGTTTATTTGTTATTTTATGTGTCACAAAATCTACAGATTATTAAGACACGCTTTTATTGTAAAATGTCTAAACACGTATGAATATCTGTCTATCACAAGTTTAACGTTTTTGTTATATATAATAAGGTGACAATTCTATTTCTATTACTTACCTTTTTTGATAAGATTAACATCAATTTTGATTTTCTTGGAATTGACATATTCCATAATTCCGTAAATATACTTAGATAGGTAACGAATATGACTTTTTTTGATTTTTTGATTTTGTTTAAAATGTAAAAGTAAAATAAATTTAAATACATTTATATCTGTATTAATGAATTGCTATAAGAACGGATTTATTTTAATCATTTATAAATAAAGTATTCAATTGTTAAGTGTTTACATCATTTTGTATATAAGTACCTACTATTACCATTTTATTAAGCGAAATCTACAGTCGATAAATTATAATTTCTTTATACACAATTATAAATAAATTGAAATATTATTAATGTTAATATTATATTCAATACACTCGTATATATATAATCTGGTTTTTATATTTGTCAAATTTAGGAATCAATCGGGACATTTATTTTCAATTAAGACAGAAATAATAATAATAAATATTAGAAAATAATACTTTATTTAATATTTTTTTTTGCAATTATTTAATAAACTGTCAAGTAAGGAAACATAAATATATATGAGAAAAAATTGACTTTTATTTTCATCTGAACAATGAAATTTTATAAGTTTGCCTATACCCGCCATCTAGTGTAAAACGTCTAAGACCTGTAATAGTGGTGCGTTGCGTTGTTGCCACTGTTCCGGGGTAAGCAATGAAACTTCGCTCTCTATTTCACTCCAATGCATATCGCTATTTCTTTCTTACAAAGCCGGTTTACTGATGTGCGCCTCGTGAAGTTGTGTGCTTAACACATACATAGAATAATGCTGCGCTTGTTTAGCCTTGGGCCAACGGTCGCTCGAAAGGGACGTGTTGATTTGGCTTACAAGACATAAAACTCGCATGAAAAATACGCGCCAAAGTTTTCTCTGTAGTTTAAAGAACGGTTTCCCGTAATGTGACAAGATTTCTCCAGTGGATTGAATAGTGACTACAAGCAAAATAGTGTTGAAAAAAGCATTGTTTTTAGTAAAGTGCTTAAGTGTAGAGAACGAAGTGACGAAGTTGGATTTAAACGTTAGGTTGAAATATGGTTGCAAGATGGGCGCATAACATTACTTTGGAAGTGAATTAAAATTGCTGAGAAAGTTTCTTGTGTCACCATGGGTACCAGTCGGCTGCTTTCACCGTTTACTTTGCTGCTGATTTGTGCAGGTAAGCGGACTTACCTACTTACTTTCCTACTCAACTTACCTCACCGCACCGCGGGCCGCTGCGGCCAGCGCGCTGCGTCTACTCTATGTATCAACAACTGGCTTTGTATCTGTGAGTTATAAACTCACAGATGCAAAGCATGTGTGTGTATGTGTCTGTGGTTAAGTGTTTGTAGATTCTTTTCTTTGTATGGACTGCTTGCAGGTTTGTCCTGCATATAAGCTAAAAATATTATACCTGCATCTCAATATCCGGGCTTATAATATCGTAGTTTGTTATTGCAGTGTTGTTTGCAAAAATAAAGGTTAAATAAAAAAAATACGTAAATCAATATAATTGATATTTAAGTTAAAGTGTGGGCTGGATATTGTCAATGTGTCAAATGTGTCAATTTTAACTGTTGAGATAGTTTGCTATAAAAAGAGTTTAAATTAGATACCTATGTAGTATCTAATACGAAAGATTCGTTCTTAGCATTAGATCGAATACTTAATTAACAATTTATTTTATTATGACAAAAAGTTGGTATAAAAAATATTTAAAAATTACAAGCTACTTATTGTATTCACAGAAAGTAAAAGCAATAAATAATATTTTATATTATATGTAATATCCAAGTGTTTTAATATTTTTCATGATTGGAATCAGTAGTTTCAGGATCATAAAATCTATTAAACTTTAATTATACATCGTAATTTCTTTGTATCTACTTATCTACTAATCCTATGGGCGCACAGAATTTGAAAATTAATCGGATAATGCATGACTTGATGAATTAATATTGTTGTGGTTAAAACATTATTTGAATCACATGCGACACTAATAATAAAATTGATAATGTGACAAAACAAAGATAGTCGATAGATTTAAAAGACCAAAACGATGTGAACTCCATCTATTGGTCTTTTATAAGATTTGAAGTGTTAACCCAAATTTGTCACTCATGATATTAAATAAGTTTTACCCATTTGATAACTTATAATTAACAGGTTAATAGCTTACCTATCCCTAAAGTTGTTTCATCGTTTAGTGGGTCTTGCATAATTACATTTATTAATTGTAATAGAAGCGTTATTTGAATATTGTTTATTATGATATTCATTTCATGCTTATTCGTTGATGTACTATATTGTTATAGCTAGAACTATCAAATATTAATTAGCTGAAGAGGTATTATTTTACAAATACAACATTGGTTTTATTTGGAATACAAAAGGAACAATATTAAGTACAATATATGGTCACCCTAGTTGACCTTGTTGAAAATAAAAATGTATTTGGAGTGGTCATGCTATGTTAAATAATTTTTATCGATTTAAAAATTATGAAATATTGGTGTATTGTTTAATGATTTTTAATTAATGAAAATAAAATGGTGACCCCGCCTACGCTCTCGGTATACCTAATCTATAGATTGGTGGAACACCAGTGAGAATGAATAAATAGAAGTTCATCCACCATGACAAATTCGATAAGATTTAACCACAACGTTCTCGAGGTAGAACCGTGTGGAGGTCGACCTGATAATTCCTTTCCCCCATTGTTTAGTGTTATACAGGGTTAGTTGTAATGGATACAGTAAGCCAGAATACAATGACAGTATTCATGAAATAGAACAACTTTTCAATAGAAGTTATATCTAGTAAACTTACGCGCGGTCACATTATTGATTAGTTACAATGAACAATAAATTGTTTTTAGATTTCGCTGTTTTTGGTAAGTTTTTTTAGTATCAGGGATATTGTAACTGTTTCGGTTTAGCATACCTATACGACAAACTAATATATGTACGCTAATAGTTCATTATTATTTATTTAGATCCGGTTAAATGACTTATGAGTCATTCATTGTGAATTTTGAAGCCCATAATAATTATTAAAAATGCAATTAAAATGTTATTAATAATAAATAATTATTGAGTCATTCAGTAAACGTCTAGTTTTAATACGATTATCTACTAAATAAAATTTGACGTATATAATTTACATACATCGTGACGAACTCAATAAGAACTAACCATGATAGTTTCCATGCAAAACCACGTAGAGGTACACCTGACAGAGTACATTGCTAGCGATGGATTTGCTAGTCTCCATTACTGTCCCTTCTTTTATAATCCCTTTTTCCCTAATTTGCTACTACTAATTTTACTTTATTTTCTTCTTGTAATTGTTAGGACAAGATTTGGATTAAGCAAAGAAAATATTTGAAAAATTGTAAGGAAAAATGAAAAATTAGTACATCCGTATGTAGCAAGGGCGAGCAAATAGTTTTAAATATTTGTCACCATGAAATTTACTAGATATAAAAAAATCTGTGTATTTAAAAAATTTCAATCCGATCAGGATTACCCTTTGCTGATATTATGCGTATTCATTTCATACCTATTATATTAATTGATACTTTTATTTATTTTTATTTTTAAAATGTATTTATAACTTCTATATATATTCGATATCTCATAATAATGTAAGTATGAGCTATGAAAAGGCACAATATGTAATTACTATATGCCTATGTACGATAACAAAACGTATAAACTCAAAATATTATAACGATAAATGGGAGAAATAAATATAGGACATAATAAACTAGTTACATAATTACTATTATTAACTATTTGCCTTGAGGTAACTATATGTGTTTTATACAGTCTATACTACAGTAAGCGTTATAACTTATTCAACATTAGTCACGTTCCTAACTTGGGTCTATACCTATTACAAAACTTCAATGTCTCAGACCTACCCTTGAGCTGTTGAATTTATTTTTAATACTTAATTTAACATAGATATAGTTTAATGTGATCATTGGAATTTTAAAATAAAGTATTCATAAAAGCAGTTTTAGTTGGCTCAGGGGCAGTCTTAGTACCTTTATTTGGCAGTGGATAATCAACAACGTGCTGAAGATACAATCAGTAATATAGGTTGTTGAAATATATATTTCTTTTATATATATAGCGACGAATTAGATAATAAAAATTGTACGAAGCAAAATTTTATTTAAAAAATCTCTTGATTAATCTAGACAAATATGATAAAATGGAAAAATTTGAATTGATTTAACGGTTTAACTCAAAAAAAAAATAAACATAAACATAAACATAAAATAAACATAAAAAAGATAAACACTTTGAGTTATCTATAATACAAGTAAATTAGAAAAAATTTATAACTAAATAAATGAGTTGTCTTTAAAAGAAAAAAGATATAATGAAATACTAAAAAATATGTTTTCGCCATGTGTGTCGCAGTAACAAAAAGAGGTCACAGCTGATTTTCAGCTGCAGCCTGAAGTTAGGTTACACAGATGCGAGCAACGAACCCGGAGTATCACTAAATGTAAACCGGTTACCACATATATTTTTTACACAACTTAGAAAGGCAAACAAGCTGTCGGCTCATCTGATGGAAAGTGGTAACCGTCGCCTATAGACATGAGCAGTATCATGGACATAACAGAGTATACTATTTCGCCCATGATACCCCCCATGCGTTGCCATTCCTGAGGACTTAGGTTTTATTCCTCTGCACCCGGTAAATTCACGCCATATCCCACCCTTCAAACCGAAACACAGCTATGCAAACACAACTGCTTAACGTTTGAAACACGAATGAGACAGGAGAGGTACCCAAGCAAACGACTTTAATTCATTCAAAGTTTTCGTAGGGAGTCGTTTTTTCACATTTTCGATTATAACTAAAAAAAACTACGGAGCATAATGATTAATAAAAATCAGTGCTAATTGTACAAATTAAGCTCTTTCTCATAATATACCACTTGGACTTGTAAGGTCAATTTTGAAATTGAATGAAATTTTTGTAGTCCTTATTTTGGGCCGTCTAGCAAGGACAATAAAAGTATTTTTTTTAATATTTCTACTACAATATGTGTGGACCAATAACGTGTAAAATTGTTCCAAATTTCAAATTGTTAGCATTATTATTTGCTGAGATATAGCGCTGTGCGTAACTATTCTATTGGACGTATTTTAAAGTACAAATCTTCCAAAACGGTTAATTATGCGTTCAAAACCTTAGATTTGTCGCATGAAAATGTGAAATAGCTCATCAGCCTGATGATTTATGTTATGCTTAATATTAATTAAATAAAACGCTTAATGCTTATTTATTAGCCAACTCATACAATATCAACGGCCCCAAGTCCTGTGAATTATAAGATAGTATTTAATTTAAAATAAATACATGTAATTGTAAGACAAATAGACTTTTAATTATTGATCAAGAAAATGAAGAATGGCCACCTAGGTAGATACTGGGTATGTATTTACTTTGATATCTGATATGACTCCACTGTACTATAATTTTTCAAAGAAATTCGTAGGTAGGTGAGTAGCTCACTATTTTTTACGCAATTTCTAAAATAAAAACATGGTTATACATAGCAAATCATATTATGATTAAACCCACCTTGGGTTTCTTAACCCTCAGAAGGTAAGTAGTAGAAGTTGTACCCATTACTGACGCTCCCTTTGCCTGTCGCGCGGTAACAGTATGCTGTATTATGCTAACAATAAAGGAGACCCGTGCTCAGTAATAATATTGAAATAAAGCTCTATACCCTTAAATCAAGTCGTCTTCGCAGCGTGTTAATATTAGGCTATATAATCCTCTGTAGCAGGACGTTAATAGGTTGTTATGGTATGTTATAAACAGAAAATTCTTCAACGGCAGCGACTTGAATCCGTAAATTGGGCAACGGCAGTGGTGCCGAGTCTGCCGAGAGAGTGAAATCATGTTTTGTAACCGGTTTACGTGCAGGTGTGCGCCGCACGGCCGGGCCACCGCTAACCATCTCTTACAACGTGTCTCTCTTAAATTTTGTTGTACTACGGCCAAATTAATTATATTTGACCGCTTTTACTACTTTAGAACTTAGAAAGTGTTACTGGGAGTGCCTCGTGGTTACAAATATTTAAAATTGTTCTATTTATATCTATATCCGCGACTTCGTTCGCGTGATTGGGATATGTTCAC